CACCCACCCGCTCGCCCCTCTGCCTGCCCGCCCTCCCGCCTGGCACTGACTGAAACTCCGGAGAAAGCTCTCGCTGCCCCCCTGGAGGAGCTGTGTCCCCTGCCTCAGTCCCACCCAGAGAAGCAGGCGTGCAGTCCCACTCCCACACAGCACTCCCTGGCCACCCCGCCTGACCGAGACCGCAGCACCGGTGGGCCACTGCAGGGAACGGCCCGCCCCCAGCCGGTGCCTGAGCTAAAGTAGGTGGAGGGGCAGGCGCTGCACCCCACATGGCCCTGAGCGGTTAGAGCCCTGGACCTGGTGGCCGTCTCAGAAACCCCACTGGGTGTGTGTGCTGGGCGTGTGTGCGTGCGTGCCCAGCACCCAGAGAGGAGAGGAGGGACTGTGGTGTGGCCGTCCCTGCTGAGAAGTGCCTTCTCACTTTCCTTCTCCCTCCCCCATCTTCTCTTTCTGGTGAGCGCATGCACCCTAATTGGCAAACGCTAAAAAGGGGGATCCAGCGGATGGTGTAATGGTTACGGCGCTGGACTTCCATGTAGTCAACCACGGTTTGTGTCCCGGACCCAGCGTTTTAAAAACTCATGCTGGAGGGACCAGCAGTTAGCATAATGGCTATGTCGCTGGACTCCCACGTAGTCAACTGCGGTTTGAGTCCCGGACCCGGTGGCTTAAACTCACGCCTGGCGCGTGTGCGTGCATGCCCAAGATCCCGAGAGGAGAATGGAGGAGAAGGGATTGCGGCGTGGCCATTGCCCCTGGGGGGGTGATTTCTCGCTTTCTGTCTCTCTGTCTCTCTCTGTCTCTCTGGTGAGCGCACGCGCCCTATAGCAGAAAAAAAAAAAAAAAAAAAAAACTCGTGCTGGGCATGCGTGCCCCAAATCCCAAGAGGATAATGGAGGAGAAGCTGCGGCGAGGCCGTCCCCCGGGGGTGAGTTCTCATTTTGTCTTTGTCTTTTTGTCTCTTCAGCCACCACGTGCACACGATAGCAAAAATCTTGCTTCCAAAATAAAAAGTGACAATGACAATGACATGGAGAGAAGAAGGCTCAGAGGCCCTGTGGTCCCCGGGAAAGGACCGTGTGGGGACAGCGTGGGGCACTGCTGTGAGTGAACAGCACCCCGAAGTCTCCACCTGCAGGATGCCAGGAGCACTGCTTCCCACTTGTGACAACCACAGATGTCCCCAGACGCCACCAAGTGAGAATTTTGCTGAGGGCAAAAATCAACCCCAGGGGCCAGCAAGTCCTTTGGAAAAGCAGTTTTTATTACAGTACCTGCGAGCGTGTGCCCGGGGAGGGGCACGCGGGTTCAATCCAGGGTGGGCGCGGTCTCCCTCCCTCCGAGAACGGGCTCGAGGGTGCCATAGAGGGTCCGTGTGGGGTAAGGGTGCGTCGCAGCTCCTCCTGCGGAGCGTGGGGCCCAGATGCCTTCCCCGAGGGCCGTTAGTCGTCCTTGTAGAAGCTCTCGATCTCCTCTTGGTATATCTTGGTCACGGCCGCCCGCCTCAGTTTCATGGTTGCCCCTGTCACACAAGGGAGTCCAGGGCAAGGCTTTGCCAGCCAGTTCTCCTGGAAGTCCCCAAGTATCTCCAGACAGGACGAGGCCCTGGAGGGCCACGTCTCTTATGGACACGGGGTGGCAGGAGGCCCTGGATGGGAGCCAGCCAGTGGGGCCGGGGCTGTGTGTCTGTCCCAGCGTGCCCTGAGGGTCTGCACACCACTCGGGCCTGCGGTAGGCTTCAGCCGTCTCCATAGACTCAGAAGCGATGGTTAAAACCCTCACCCCGGGGCCAGGAGTGGGGGTTAGTGGCTGGACCACAGGGCCTGCTTTACGGTTTGAGGCCCGGCCCTGGCGGCTGAAGAGTCACACTGGGTGTGTGCGTGTACATGCCCACACATCCCAAAAGGGAAGGAGAAGGGTTTGGGGCGTGGCTGCCCTCCCTGGGGGTGATTTCTCCCCCTCTCTGGTGAGTGCAGGTGCTCTATAGCAAAAACTTAAAAAAATTTAAAACTAAAGAGGCCAGCAGATGGCGTACTGGTGACGTCCCTGGACTCCCACACGGCTGACCATGGTTCAAGTCCCAGACCCGGTGGCTTAAGACACATTGGGTGAGTGTGCGTGCCCAAGGCCCCTAGAGAAGAATGGAGGAGCAGGGATTGCAGCGTGGCCGTCCCCCTGGGGGTCAGTTCCTCACTCCCCTCTCCCCAATTCTCTCCCCGGTGAGTGTATGCGCTCTATAGCAAAAACTAAAAGAAAAGAATTAGAAGTAAAGAGCCAGAGGTCTGGAGCATCTTGACAAGGATACCAGGAATGCTGGTCTGCGGGCCAGGGTCCAGCACGATCAGACGGGGACAGGGCCCTCCTCCCACAAAACTAGGGGTCGGGCCTGGGCGTGGGCCCCTGGGGTGCAGGGGGAGGTCCTGGGAAGGGAGTGGAGGGTCTCACATCAGGCCTCTCCACAGTCAGGGCTGACATGTGCTCGCTGCTCAAACCGTTGGGCTGAGGCCACGTGGCCACCGCCCGTCCCCACGTGGAGCCCGAAGCCATGAGGACCTGATCGA